ATTATTATTCATTTTCATCGGAAAAACATTTTAAAGTGTCGTTTCAATTCTATTTACCGTATTTATTAGAGTGCTTGTGGATACACGATATTTTTTGTAGCCCACCAGTGGCCGAGCGCTCTTCGTACCCTGAACACTGGGAGTTCGGTCGTGAGTTCGCGCCTCGCTCGGACAGGCTGGCCACGTGAGTTTTCCGGGTTTTCTCCACGTCTGTAACGCCTAAATAGGGGCCAGTTTCCCTTAAAAGACATCCCGGAAGGCATCCCGCTAGGCAGATCGCCCAAGTGTTGCGTTGCCATAAATTAACAAACAAACATATTTTTTTGTTTTTCCGTCTGGTGCGTAGACGAATAAATCAGAAGATTTTCCGACGCGTGAGCCGGCCACATACAGTTGTACTGTACATGCGAGAAGCACGGATTCTCCGAATTTAGCCCATACATTTGCAGCGATTGTCAGAAGTGCAATATTCCCCGTTTTTATATATATTTTTTAATCCTTTATAATTTTAATTATTTAATTGCTCCTTCCTCTCTTCCTTGGCACGTTGTGAAATTTCTGATAGTTGGATAATAAACCGTTTTATTGTAATTTGTCTTTTTAAATTATTTTGAGTCGATATTAAAATTTGGGAAAGGGGCATACCTAGATCGGTAAAATAGGCGAATTTCCTCCTACAACTTCGGTTCTTGTTCGGAGTACAGTTGAGGTTTTAACGAAGTTCGAGCGAATACATAATTAGCAAAAAAANTTTTGCAAGCAAACCCCACTTATATTCAGTATTTCAACAACCATAGTATTTGTTATATAACACCTATCACTGGGAATGATGAGAATTGCTGAGAATCAAACAAATTATTTTCAATTTGATCAATTTTCTGGAACATTTACAATTGTTCTATAATTGAACCAGCATGCAATAACAAATTTGAATTTAAAACGGTTCGAACATTTTAAAAATCGAAATAGATAAAAATATTTATAACAACGTCTGAAATGTTATCAATTTAATACACCTAAGTACTCAATGAAGACTAAACATAGTTGAAAGCAAAAAATCGCATCTAAAATATCAATAGTATAGTAGAAGCCGTTCTTTAGGTTAAGCCTTAATCCTCTCCCTCTCCCGCCCGCAGGGGAATTTTGAAAAATCCCTTCTTAGTGTGTGTTTTCATGATGTACCCTAACTGTGTACGAAATTTCACCTCTAGGTTCAACAGTTTGCTCTGGGTGATGATGAATCAATCAGTCAATCACTCAGTCAGTCATAACAAGTAATTTTATATATTTAGATTAGCATGTATCAAATACAAACAAAATGTTTACATTTAACTAATGAATAGTCTAAGAACAAAAATAATTATTTATCCACCATTTCTTTCAGTATTTGCTGCTCAACAAGACAACATGGTCTCATGGGATAGAATATCTGTAAGTAAACTGATATTCAAACCAGTGATAGTTAAGTACTCCAAATTAATTCATAATTATTTAACTTTATGTTATATGATTTTAAAAATAACTTTTTTAAAATTTTGAAATTAATGTGATGTTTGTATAATTATAATAATTTTGAATATACAGTATAACCAACATTCTAGAAATACAAAAGTATGTATATTTTAAATTTAAATAAACCTAGTGTTCTGTACATCATTTACAAAACATTCAATTAGTTATTCAGAAATACTATTCAAAATATTCATTTCTTAATCTATATATATAAAATTGCTTGTCCTGACTTAATCACTCACTGATTCATCATCACCCAGAGCAAACTGCTGAACCTAGAGGTGAAATTTCGTACACAGTTAGGGTACATCATGAAAACGCTCACTAAGAAGGAATTTTTCGAAATTCCCCTGCAGGGGAGAGGGAGAGGATTAAGGCTTTACTGGAAGAACGGCTTCTACTGTATTATTTTAGATGTAATTTTTTGTTTTCAACTATGTTTAGTCTTCATTGAGAACTTAGGTGTATTAAATTGATAACATTTCAGACATTGTTATAAATATTTTTATCTATTTCGATTTTTAAAATGTTCGAACCATTTTAAATTCAAATTTGTTATTGCATGTTGGTTCAGTTATAGAACGATTGTAAACGTTCCAGAAAATTGATAAAATTAAAAACAGTTTGTTTGATTCTCGGCAATTCTCATCATTCTCGGTGGTAGGTGTTATATAACAATTACTATGGTTGTTGAAATACTGAATATAAATGGGGTTTGCTTGCAAAATCCTCGAGGGCAAAGCCGCGGGTAACAGCTAGTATATATATTGTTAAATCTCTTGATATGGACTTTTAATATGAAATCCAGTTTTTAAATAACAACTAGAAGATTGTCGTTTAAAAACCTTTTAAATGAAAAGCACAGTGCTTATGGTTGACACCCTTGGGACCAAGATAAATGGTCACTATATAGAAAATATGTATGGTACATTATATCAAACAAACCAATGACACGTTATTTTGTACATTATATGAGTTTATTTCTATTACTGTTGACAGCTGTAGTTTTATATAGCAGTATATACATTAATTGCATCAAAAACTGTATAAATTGAGATATCCTTTCTTTAAAGTTTTCCCTATTATGTCATTTACATCATTTGCTTCTCCACACAGTATCTTCTCTGAAATGGCATGTCTTTGCTTAAATGATTTGAGTGAGCCATTTGATGCATTAAAGTTCTGAATATGAAGCTTCTCTTAAAATATGAATGCTACTTCCAGTATCATTGAGCCAGACACAATAACATTCATGCCATGCATTTGTTGAAAGGATTTCAGAACAGCAGCATTTATCTCAAAATTTGGCATCTTTCTTACTTTTCTGGAATGGTCTCCATTTTCATTGTCTTAATAACATTCAAAGTATGTTAACACATGCTTTACTTATCCTGAACTTTGCTGCTGCTTTTTGCTGACTACTGAGTTCAGGAAATTTGATAACCTCAACTTTTTCTTTCAGAGAAAGCTCTCTGTATGGTTTGATTTGAGCCACAATTGAAGATTGCAGAGCTGTAGAAGAACAGATTTTAGATGCTTTCAGTAATGAACAAAACATAAAACTACAGAATACATTTACATATGACAAATAAGAGAGAGACTCAGTACTGTAGAAAATAGTGTAATATTTCTAAAGTTTTCCCAATTCTGCCTGAACAAGGTTGCTAGACATCTCAGATTTTTATAGCCTAAACAATTATAAAATCCAACCAAAAATTTATAATCACTAGTGCCCAGAAAGTTAGATGTTGACCTATAAAAGTATATAAAAAGCAGATTTCAGAGGTAACAAAATTATTTCTCATATTGCAGATTTTAGAAAATTTATTTAGTGAAATATGGAATAAATTTAGTTTCTCATGGTAGCTGTTGTATTACAATATTGAAGCAACTTCTGGTAATGGAAATACAGTGAAACCTCGGTATACGACCTTAATCCGTTCTCGATGTTATACCGAATTGGATGTATAACAAACCAACCTTTCCCATAAGAAGTAATGTAAAAACGATTAATCCGTTCTCATGTAAAAAAAAATGGCTGGCTTTAAACACCTCACTTTCCTGGCTAGTTCCTGCTTGATTTTTCACGAGATCAGCATGTATCTTTTTAGCTTTCTCGCAAATAATTGCTTCCGATACACTGTCTCCAGCACACTGTTTTTCAGTTATCCAAAGCAAAAACAATTTCTCAACATGATCTAATGTCTTTGATCTCTGTTTAGAAATTGATTTAACTCCTTTCGCAACATTAGCAGATTTAATAATGTCTTTATTTTTCACAATTGTCGATATCGTCATTCTCAGAATATGGTATGCAACAATTAAAATCTGGAACACACATGCCACCTTCATATTTCTCAACAATCTCTTTTTTCAGTTCCATTGTAATTCTAGTCACTTTTTTAAAATTTTCTGTTGCTTTTCATTTGTCTTTTTGCAATTCATGATTAATAAAACTAATAAAATTTTACTTACGAATTAAAATCAGAAGAAATTTAATAAAGTTATAAACTGTTGCACCGCAAATGTCTAGTCTGGTCTAGTACACCGATAGTGCTACTTGTTCATTGACGGCGTGTATAATTGAATTATGTCATATACCGAACAAAAGTTGTATACCAAGCAAAATTTGTTTTGTCTAAACAGGACATATTCCGAATTGAACGTATTCTAAAGCAGACGTATATCGAGGTACCACTGTACTTTTGAAGTATTTACTACAATACGTGGGAGGCAGATGTTGACCTGCAAGTATAATTTCTTGCCTATATGAGGGTCACCAGTAACCTAAAAACCCAAATCAACCAGCTTTTTTCTGTAAAGTGGTCACTTTAATAGGCTACATTTTAGGAAAACCAGATGTAGCAGTCGTCAAATTACATAATAAACAGATGGTCACTACACAGAGAAAAAGTATCCTTAAAATCTATTGAATAAATTTCAAACCAAATAAAATTGGTAACTATAGGAAAATGGACATATTACAGAAGTCATCACATTGGCATATTCCACTATATAATTGATAACAAACTGAGTTTTTGTACATTTTCAGCAATCCCTTCAATGTAAATGAAATGCAAATGTTTTCAACCTCAAATTTTGAAAAATTCAAAGTTTTAAAACTCCGAATTTTTCACAAAATTGTTCAAAATTACAAAGGTTCAGCTAAAAAAATATAAAGAAGAAAATGTTCTATGGAAGCTTGATGCTGGTCCCTGAATGAGGCCGAGAACATTTGTTTCATTTACATTAAAGGGATTGCTGGAAATGTAAGAAAGGCCAGTTTATTATCAATTATACAAAATACAAACATGTAAATATCCATAAAAATATAAAAAACTTTTGAAGACAATTTAGAAAGTCATTAACAACAAAACAAGACATAAATAAATAGTGCATGAATAAGAGTTTTAACTTATTCTTTTTTATTAAGTTCAAATAACATAATAAATAATGAAAATAATGATGAAATAAAAGAATAAACTTACCTTAAACAGTTATCACTGCTCAATATTGTCAAATGACAATCTGATTCACTACCTGGATGCCAAACAACAGAGGATACATTCACTTTGCTATTGGACACAAAAAAAATTTCTGCAATATTCCACGATCTGCAAATAAATATATTTTATAATTATGAAAATGTACATAACTTGGTACCACAGTAGTAATATATCAAAAAATAAAACTATGTACCTGTACTTTTCATAATAATTTCTGATTTTCTAAGACAAGGATTATAATTTTACTTTTTGATTTATTACAGTAATTATAAATTTTTAAAAAATTATAGAATTCTTTGATATGATTTACTCCATTTTAAAAGCTGACAGATGAAGATATGTATCAGTAAAATTACATCAGTATGTATCAACAAATTATAACTCCTGAACAGAAGTATGGAATATTTTGTAATTGAAGAAAAACATTATTTTGATCCTGAAATAATCACTCACAAAAATATTACTGAACTTTTAATAATTGGCAAATATAAAAAGCATATTAGAGTATTTACACACCAAACTGTAAAGATATTTGCATAAATTACAAAATTATGGTATTTTAGACAAAATAAGAGCTGAACAAAAGTATGAAATCATGAAAAGTATTAAACAAAAGTATGAAATATTTTGATGGTTATTATAATAAAAATTATTAGATTTTAACAAGTAAAATGAATAATACTCTTGTAAATAAATTTTATGGCATCATTATAGTGAATTAAGTGAAGATAAAAAAACAGTTAATAATTTTGATGCATCAAGAAGGAAAATTACAAAGGATAATAGCAAACATTACAATGCTCTTGAGGAACAGTTTCAAAAAGCTTAAATTTCAAAGCTTAAAACATTTGAAACTAAAAAAAAATTAGCAAGAGATTGGAAGACCAAGATCTACAACCAAGAAAGATTACCGTAATTTAACTAAAAGTTTTATGGAAAATAGATTTTTATCATCAAGCAGCATTAATTTAAAATGGGGAGAGACAGATGTTAACATACCAGATATTGCAGAGGGAAGGACACCAGCAGAAAAAGGTTATCACTCAAGAAAAGTCAAAACAAAGCCCTACATGACAAAAAACAAAAAAATTCATTTGAAATGGGCCAAAATTCATAAGACTGAAGTGTTAGTGACTGGAATCAGTCATTAACACTCCAGTCTTTATGAGTTTTGTCAGCAACAAGTTATATTCACAGATGAATCAAAAATATGTATTGGATATGGTAATGATGATGGCACATCAGTATACAGAAGATCAGATGAAAAATTCCATCCTGACTTTAAATTCATAATAAAATTTCCTAATTATAATGATGTGGGATGTATAACCTGAAAAAGAGTTGGTAAAATGGCAATCCTTGATAGCACATTGAATGCTAATGATTACTTGGACTTATTAGAATGTTTGGTTGTTAAAACATCAGATGATCACTTTGGTCCAGGCCTGGCACACTAACCGCAAACCTGCGTAAAGTACCCGTTAGGTTAACGGACGTCTTACCGGCACACAGTTCTGTGTCATTTAACACCCATTGCAATAATTATTACTTTACATGGTTATTGTTTACTTATGTTATTGGAAACTATATTCCAAGATGCACAATAAAATACATGCAATTACAGGAAATCCTCATTAATTCGAACTTAGATAGTTTATAACTGTACTATTTGTTCTGGGTGGGGATATAAGATTTACATTTTAAGGAATTGGTTATAATGCTACCACTCAAAACTGGTTATACTTGAATTAAAAACTCTAAAAACCTATAATTCAGCAATTTTTATAATGATGATGCCCATTTAACATAGATGAAAACATTTGCATGTATTATAAAAGTTGCTGAATTATAAGTTTTTAAAGTTTTTGAAATTTTGTTAGTTTGAAATATGGCTCCTTCAAAATTTGAAGTGAAAATTCTGTTTGAACTGTGATATGCATATGTTAACTCTTTCATTCAAATCAAAGTGTCTCCATATTATGAAAAAACAATAAACCAAGAACAACTCTAATCTGGACAATATGGCTTTGCTTTTACAGAAGTGATTTTCAATCAGTGTGCCACAAGAGCATCTTAAGTGTGCTACGAAAATTTTTGAATGTAATTAAATAAATTGTTTTCGAAAAAACTCCACAGAACAATAAGTATACATTTCAAAATTAAAACCTCTTTAAACTGATTATACGAGTTTTACATTGTTATAATAAATACATATACATAATGTAGTAAAAATATATATTCATAAACAAAATTATATTCTAAAAACATATCAAGCGCAGATATCTCATTAAATGTTCAATTACAATAAACTGAAAAAAATAAGATTTTTTAAAAAAAATTTTAATTATTATCTATTTATTAGAAATTATAATAAAATGCTTGGTGTTAATAAATAATTTATGAAAAATAAAATCTTTCATTTTACTCGTTTTTTTAATCATTATAATTTAAGTATGCCACAAAAATTTTATTTTAAATTCATGAGATAAAAAAAGGTTGAAAAACACGGTTTTACAGTAGCACATTTTCAGGTGTCACATTACCCATGGAGACTACCTTTTTTCTCTTATCTCATAAAATATGGATGGGTTTTGGAATTGTAAGATTGGGCTGCAATTAGCAGATTGAGATATTTGTAGGGCTCTAGGCTACTACTTTTGGGTGACTTTCTTCTTTTTGGGCCAATTTAAAAATAATTTGGGCTATATTTCAAAAAATTCTGTTTTTAACAATCTTTGTGGATTGTTAAAAACAGAATTTTATAACAGTGTTGTGTCTGTAACAATCAAACACAACACTGTTATAAAAAGGTTTTGTGGATTGTTATTACTCAACGCAATGTTAAGATTAGAAGTCGTTTTGTGAATTCTGCTTTTCTTTTTATAAAACCTATCTGTAACCTGTGAGGTTCTCATTGGACAAGTACTGTTTATCTGCAGTTTATTTATACAAGTATACCTCACCTTACGCTGGTAATTGGTTCCAAGAGAGGCGACTTAAGTCGAAAAACGATGTAAGTCGAATTTACTTGGCACTAGACTAAACCATTCCCAGTTCTGTATTTTATTTATTAATGCATTTTTAATAATATATGGTTAATAAGAATCCATTTTAAGCTTACAAACAAATAAATTTTAGTTTTTAATATAGTACAGAGAAAAAAGTAATCTAAATTTACAAATACATGTACGTACAGTACATACTTGTAAATGTACATGTTTAAAATTTGGTGGTGTTTACAGTACATCGCAAACTCTATTTGTGAATGTGGTTTCTCTAAGACATTATAAAATAAGATGCTTTTTTAAGGTTAAATAACAAATATAGCTATTAAAATTATTTTGCAATAGTAGAAAAGATTTATTGAGTGGTGCTGACAACGACACCAAATGGTAGATATCGGAACTACCATGGATAACACCAATAATGAGCACTTAAAGACCGCTAAATAAGACAACAACACAGAAACACAGATATTTTCATGTTTTGTTCTCTAGGATTTATGATGATTATATTAACATTTACTGTAAATGTACATATTTTAATATGATTTTATGTGCTTTTAACACTTTTCTAATGATATTATGATGTCATTATGATCAATATTATGATCAATATTTGTGGCAAACGAACATAAAGTTGAATAAAATGACTTAAACTTGATTTTTATTTTTCCATATACCTTTTTGACAAACGATGTAACTCGAGGTATACCTGCATTATTATTACGGTAATTATTATGAGAATAGCTTTCTGTATACCTATTCAAATTCCAATTGCTTAATAAATTACATTAGTTACATGGCATTTGGCATACTGTGCAAAAATGTGTAAATTTCAGATAATTCAAAACTCAATAATTCAAAGTTGCGATTATTTTGTCCATTGAATTTCAAACTAATGAGAATTTCTTGTACTGGCTGTTAATGTTAAGAAACTTCAACTGACAAAATAAGTACTTTTGGCAATATATAACTCATCCTCAGACAAAATTTGAAATTAAACAAATATTTATGAACTTCATAAAAGACTCAAAGAAAGAAAACATTTTTCATTTATGATATTTAAAACCTACAACAAGATATAAAATTTTTAAGTAATTGATAAAAAAACATTATTATTATATTAATACTAATGACTTTTACTTCATTATTTATCGAAAACTACTATATCTAAGGATATTTAATCAATTTAAAGAAAGACAACCCAATGGTCTGGAAGTACAGATGTAAGCCGATTACAAAATTTGCAAGACAAAACATATAATGTTTTTCAAACATATGCCTCTCAAAATCAACACATTATGATTATTGCACTGATGGAGTAATCTATTTCCTAATCACAAATGCTTCTAATCATAATCTAATACTTTTTTAAACTAGGTCTTTTGATAGACCTTCTGTGCATTGTATTGTCTTGGTATTTAGATAATCTACAGGCTAGATATAACAGATATATCTATTATATCTAGCTGTATGCAGCTCTGATTATATCTATAATAGGCTTAAATAGATATTGCCCTATTTAAGAACGATTAGAGTTTACTGAATCATACCTAATGGACATTTTATAAAAACCTGACTTCTCCAGCAAGAAATAACAGTCTGTATAACTATGTACCATTCTATGCAGAGAAGTTTTTAATTAATATATAAATGGCTTGCTATATGGTATATTACAAATGTAAATCCGTCTCTGTAATCCAAAAATTTACTAACCATAATTTGATACGTCTACCAAAGTGTGTTTTTTTGTATTACAGAGACGGATTTACATTTGTAAGTTTTTACTTGATAACAAAAAATATCCATACTTTCAGCACTTTAATTTTTCCAGCACTAGTTTAATCAAAATGCTAGTTTTCAATACCAATCAGAGATCTGCCTCAGGTTAAAAATGTATTAAAATACAAATTAAAGAAAAGAATTGAGTTCTAATGATAGAATTATAACATTATTACCTGAGGATGGTCTTTATAAAGGTTGAAAAATTTGTTTTTTAAAAAAATGTTTTTGTTCTTCTAACTGGATTATGGTTTTGAAGTGTTCTTATATTGTAGAACTAAAATCAATATTTTTAAATTTACAAAATTTGAAAAACAAACAATT